GTCACAGTCCAAACAGGAATTGAGGAGGATACAGTGTGGAAACTTCTTTCAATTACATCAATGCAGTGCCAGTTTCCAGGAGAGGCAGAAGCTGCTGTTTGACTGCTGCACCCTCTGCAGCAGCACAAGCAGAGAAATAAGCACCCACATTCAGGGAGAATTTATCACTAAGTTTATAAATTGCTCTGCTAGCTCTGCCTAGCTCTGCCTGACAAACTAGTTCAGGGCAGTTCTGGATGTTGCAAAATGAGTTGCAGTGTAACAGCAGATGAAGTCTTGGGTGCCTTCAGCTGGTTTCTGGCACAGTCACACAACTTTGGTTCTTGGAATTATTTGGGACACCAACACGAAGTATTTCAGAGTACGCTGTTGGTTAGGGTTATTTATTTCATACAGTGATTGCTAACACTGCACAGTGGCCGCTTCTTGGCAACAAGTGATACTTCTCTTTCTGTGCTGTTAAACAGGACTGTTGTATTTTACTCTCTGCCTTTTTAATTTTGGGTGTTAAAGCAGTTACCAGGGTGTGCTTTGCACTCTCCAAAGCCAGAGTTTTGAGCAACTGAGAGAACTGATGATGAGTGAGGTGCATTTATTTATGTCTGGTTTGCCTGGTTAGTAGGGATTATTTAGCCCATGCAAGAAATGGAAAAAATCATTAGTGGTTGTGGGAGAAGCTGATGTTTGTGAATTGAGTTAGCCTTAATATAAAAAAAGATCCAGGAATACATGTGAAACTCAGCTTGACAAGACCTTGAAAGTCTGCAGGTGACATAGCAGCCCCTGCACCATTTTGTCAACAGGATCAAAAAGGAAGTACAGTGTGATTGCAAAACAATCTGTTATGGCAGTATCTGCTCTGTTCTTGGAATAAAAATGACATAATTCCCGATGGCTGCCAGTGATAGCTGAAAAGACTTCTGCTTTATGAATAATAAATGCAAACATTTTGCTTTATGTCAGCTACATAATTTTTCTGGCACACATGACCAAAGTTTCTGACAATAACATAAAAACACTTCTTAAGTTTTTAATTGTAAGTTTAAAAAAAAATAATCCAAAGTGAGTCCAGCTGCTTGGCACAATAGCACAACATTTGCATAGCAAATTTCACACAGGCTTTGGATAAAAACAATGATGATACCTAGTTTGATGTTTGCAGTTTTGCCATGTCACAACTGTAATTGAAACTCAACAGGCTTTGGTCAAAATTGCAGCAGAGCAGAATGCTCAGATTTAACTGGGCCTTGTGCTCAACGGGTTAAATTTATCACTGTCAAATGAATAATTTGTTACTGAGAAAGGAAAACTGATAGGGGTTTGAATGATCAGACAGAAAGTTTAAGAGACAATATTCATCACCAAATAAATGTAAATATTTTTATTTTAAAAAATGTTAATGGCACCTTAGAGGCAGTCATGACTACACAACCAAATATACAAAAATTACATTTTCATAATTGAATCTTTCCACAGTGCTGCACAAAATGGAAACAGTATGAGAAACATTGCATGTCACACTCCAAGACAATTAACTTTAGTTCATAAAAGCAGACGATTTTTGGTACACCTCGATACTACCAGACCCAGGTTCCCTGGGTAAAAAGGAAAGGTGGCTTTGTGCAAAACTTTCCAACAACACTACAATTTAATATGCTAAACCTACAGCAAATCAACTGTACAAGACAAGTTGACTTGGTCTCATGCAGTCCTTATATACATCATCATCTCAATTGGGTTTTTCAGGGAGAATAAGCACTTTCATTGACTAAAATAAATATTTTCTAAACTCTTTCACTGTTGCAATGCAAAAATGTCTGATGCTTTGTGCAGAATTAGCATCAGAGAGATAATTCCAACTTTATCTGAAAACAAGCCCTTTATAATCTCTGGTACTTAAAGGCCATGTTCTGGCATGATAGTGAATGAAGAAAGCAGACATATATTTGGTTGATTAAAAATAGTGGAGAATAAATTTGCCTGAATGCTAGTCCTAGATGGACTTTCAGAAGGGATTAAATTCTGCTATCAAAATTAAAGTGTTTAATTACATTAATCTCTGTTTATCTTCTGTTGTATCATTGAATACAGCAGTAAAATGTCTCTATCACAGTGGAAAGGGATTTTGTTCCCCAAACAAAAACAACTAAACAAGAAAATTGGCTCTCGTACCTTCTAAATTAACTACAAGCTTCTGTGTTTTCTTGTTCCTTTCCTGGATTTCTTCAATGATTTTGATTTCAGAAAGCACTAGTTGTTAGTATACAGTTAACTTTGTATCAAACATAAGCCTGAACTAATTCAACTTCAAATGTTGGAGTCCTTGTTTATTATGTCACTCAGTAGCTAATAATTAGCTGGTAGCCCTTATGATTGCAAAACTGAACCTTATGCTTACACTGGATTTGTCTAGCTTCAGCTTCTGGTGAGTGGATCATGTATCTTTCCTACAGCAAATTGTCTTCACCTTTCACATTACTATTCCCCAGATAAGCAGTCATGATTTGTTTAAAGAAAAAGCCATTGGCTTTTAAATATCCTTCCCAGAGTGCAGACATCAGATCTATATTGATAGGTGTCCTGCAGCAGAGGTACTGCACAATACAAACATTTTGATATTAAACTAAAATGCAGTGAAATTTTTTAGTTCCTCTCTAAGAATTCAGAGAAAATAGACATCACAGGAGTGCAATAAAGTGAGAAGTTGCATGAATGCATATAACATAAACCAGAAAGAAGAAGGAATTTAAACTGGGTCTCGATCAGTCCTGCCGATCACTAATTGGACTTCCAACAATAATGGAGTTATAGCTGAAGCTAGCAAAGGGATCCATTAGACAATTTTTAGAGGAAACCTCATTTAGTCTTGAATGCTGAAATGGAGAAATCAGGAAAACTGTACTGACTTTCATAAGAAACTAAATCTCCAGAAACCTCGGAACAAAAAGCTGCCAAAAGCCTATAGAACAGGTTTTAACAACTGAAGGGCTTTTCCATCAGAGAATTACTACTGAAGTGAAGTGAAATACTTGCCTACCAGGTAGCACCAAGCAGAAAAGACACTGTCTGGCAACTTTTTGTTAAGTGGGAGTGTTTTAGAGGCTCATGATGAGTAGGTGTAAGAAGTATCCTAAGATTGTGTGGTGTGCTGTATGAGAATATAAAATGCTATCCTGACAGAAGACGGTTAATTGACTAAGAAGCTGAACAGAGTACTCATTAGGAGAACTGCAATTCTTTGGGTTGGCCTAGGCATACTTTCACAGGAAGCAGAGCTCAGACTGCAGGCCAGATACACACACTAATATGTAAAATACATAATCACAGTCTAAAGGGGAGAAGTGATGCCCATACTGAAGCTAATGGCAGAGGCATCAGCCCTGTCTAGCTCAGGCACCAGCCTTCTCTTGATCCCGAGTATAGACACAACTGGCTAGCCTGTCCCACCACATGCTGGGGCTGCTTGTATATATTCCTGTAGGAAAAAGATAGAAAGAACTTTTCTACACTGAAGCTGCCCCAATAATCTGCAAACCTGGAGCCCAGTTTTAGGGATAGCTAATGATTCAATGCAACAAGAAGAAAAAAGCTCATCTCCCTTAAAATCCCAGTTTCATACTCATGAGACCTTTTTACCAGCCCTTTAAGTCTAGATGTGGAGAACCATCTACCTCTTTCACCAGGTTTTTCTTCCAGTCTAGTGAGTTAACATGGCACATGGAAGACTTCACCACATACCAGTGTTAGCACAAGGTAGGAAATGAGAGGGTGAAGACCTCCCTCTTTGGGTGGCCTTCTACACGGCTCAGCTCCTAGCACTGCAGTCTCACTCTGTGCAAAATTACAAGTTTCACTCAAAAGCAGAATTTTGCCCTTCACTTTATATTTTTTATTATTTTTTTGACGTGTGTCACATCCTCCAGTGATTTAAGCCCAGCAGAGAAAATAACCTAAAAACCAATTAGGTTGTTTTAATTTACATAACTAACATTATGCAGCCTTTATAGCTTTTTCTGTGTCCTCTGCCAGAGATAAAGCAAATATGGAAATGCAAGACCTTCCTGTTTCCAATTTATAATTTAGGCCCAGTCAGATTCTATCAAGACAGTGAGCAATCTTTTGTAGAGCCATCGATTCTAAATCCTACCCTCATTTTGCACTGAGGTCATCTTCCAGAATTGTAATAGGATGCCCTTGGAACAGAAGCCTTCACATTCCCAGGTTGTACCACACCAACATCCTTCGTTGTAAAAAAAACACTAACTTTTTCCTGCCTGTCCTTGAGGCTACCTGATGTAACATTTCAACTACATAAAATAGCACTGGGACAATTATATAAATGTAAAATCATGCAATAGGCAAAGGAGTTTTTCTCAGGTAAACATTATTAACACCTTATTCCTCTCTTGCATGTCTACCCTTCTGAACCCATTTAACAAAATGCTAAACTGACTGTTTTCTCAAGAGGCCAATGCAGAAGTTGGCTGTGCCAGCTGAATAGAAGGAGATTATAAGAGAGATGGCAAGAAAACACCATGAAGAGTCACAACATTCTTAGGATCAGAAACAGTTGTTGGTCTTGTTTGGGTTCTTGTTTGTTTGCTTTTGGATTCCACTTGACTTCCCTCTTGAGATGAGGTAGGGCTGGGCTAGGATAACATGGGTGTGCCTGATCTGAGCCATTTACAGTGACTGCAAACCAGCACAGTCCTTCCTGATTCTCTGTTCAAAGACTTAGCACATATAAAGAATTCTTTAAATATTTGTAAGCATTTAAATTGAATTTTCTAAATGCTGAGTTATGTCATTATTTATTAAGTGAATTATGTCCTTTCTTCACTTCCTGAAGTTACAAATAGTAACTGTTTATCTGACTGTGGTAGAATGTCAAAGTTCTTCTCTGCCTTCCCCTCACCCACTCCCTTTCCTCACATTAAAGTCTTCACAACTTCTATACCAACTATTGCACTTGATTAAAAAGAAATATACACATCAAACTATGCCCTCCCTCCCACCCTCCCATAATACCAGCATAAAAAATACTGCAACTGAAAAGAAAATATGTCATGACAATTATTTTCACAGTTACTAACACTGAACATCAAATAATTGGAGACACTTTTTTCACTTCATGGAGAGTGGAGAAGAATTCTGTTTGTGGTGGTTTGTTTTGTGGTGTTTTTTGTTTGTTTATTTTTAATAAAGATCTTGTTTTACATCATGGCTGAAAGCCAAGCTGATTTCAAGTTATTTGCAGTTCTTAAATCACACAAAATAAATTCCAGTGGGAAAACAAACCCAACCCTGTCTCCTAGTAGTGGTACTGCATGTTAATCCATTATTTTCAGGAATGTTTGTTGAGAGTGTCTATAGTTCCTATATATACAGAAGTTTAACTCCCTGCTCCCCCTAAGAAGCTGTTCCCTCATGTTTCTGCCACATTCTTTAATCTGAAAGAAGAAAGAAATCCACTGTACCCAGGGTCCCACCACCTGTATGCTTTGCATTCAGTTAGAACACCCCAACAATTCAGTGCTAACAAAGGCTAACCTCCATGTTGCCTTTCTGTGTACTTCTTTCCCCTTGCAGGTTGCAGGGCTTGAACAAGTGAGTGCTTTGGTGTGGATGACAACTTTCTTACCAGTTACTTGCTTCTTAAGTCCTTTACAAAGTTGCCTGGGGATCTTATAATTCAATTCAATTCCTCTTTGGAAGTCTTACGCCACATGTATGTGTTTCCTGAATGTGATAAGGAACAGTGCCAGGACAGAACAACTGACTGGTCAATAGTCATGACTGGTCTTATTTACAAACAATAAATCCTGTGCAAAAAATTACTAGCAGAAGCATCAAGTTTTGTTAGTCTTGAAAACTCAAAATCTCATGTAATATTACGCATTGATTTAGAATTTAGAGCTACTGATACACACGACTGCATAGTTTGGCTTATCACTCTAGTTGGATTCAGAGAGAAAATTAACTATCAGTCCAACTAGCTGATACACATTATGGCACTCCCTCCTGATCACACTCTTTGCACTCCAGCCTAGTTAAAAGCACACCTGACCAGCAACTTGGAGTTGCTGGGATCCCTCCCAGACCATCATACCATCTTTTGTGGGTATGGGTTTGGAAAGTGGAAAACCTTTTGGATTAAGGCAGAAGACTGACTTAAGTGAGCAGTTCATCACGGATACAGCCAGTTAGACAAAATCGAATTGAACAGGCAACTGACTGCCAACAAGTATACTTTTATATATTTTCACCAGAATTTGTATACACATAGTGCATAAAAAACCGGGAGGGGAAGAAAAGAGGTGGGGGGGGAAAAAAGAAAAAGGAAAAAAACAGACAGTCCAACAGCTTCATCTTGGTATAATCATTCTTTCTATAGCACAAATGATATGATCCCAGTTTTTACAAAATATTGCCAGCAGCGTCACTGCAAAAAAAGTGCAAATGATATGAAAACGGCTCTTCATCATAGGAGCAATGAACTTCGCAATAGTAGAAACGCACACTAAGATGACAGTCATGAAGGCCAGGATAACATTTATGCATTTCCCCAGGAGCACTTTGGCATTGACTGTTTCAGACTGCTGTGCTTGCTGTTCTTGCTGATGGAGTTCCAGTTTGGAAACCCGGGTCTGGCATGATTCCAAGGCTTCCTGTAGACAGAAAACAAGAATTAGAGCAGCCATATTTCCATTCAACGTTTCTTCACATTTTAGCTGCTGAGCCATCCATCAGCTATATTAGAAGTGTAATTTATTATAGCCTGCTGAAATTTCAATGAACCACCAACTTTTAAAAAAATAAATGCACATGTATGTCTGCATGAGTGTGTCACTGTTTGCTCAGACATAATCAAGTCTAACAACACTGCCCAAAATGTAGGTTTGTTCTTTTTTCATGCTTGAGAAAAAGTATCATAACTTTAATGTTCATGACAGTTGTTTCCTATAGATACTGTTGATACAAAGTACTAGTGAAGCTGTTGCCATAGCAACTATCATTGCATCAAAACAGCAAGAAAATTCGTTTCTTTGCATATTCTATAGAAAACATTAGTGTGGGCTTGTTATGATAATAATTAAATCTACTTTGCAACATGTAGCATTTGGTTTACACTGCCTCTGTGGCCTACGTTAATTTTGCTCTCAAAGCTCCCCATCCTACAATGTTGGGCTTGAGTCCCCTGTGAGATCTGGCCTTCTCCCTCTGTCAGTGTGAAGATAGTGGAACAACCTGTGGAGATACTTTTATGGGATTCTCTCTCACATGATCTATTCCGGTTCACAATTTGTTTTAAAGAAATCAGACCTTTCTTTTTTATTTGAGAATGGAATAAAGGCGATCTTTGAGTAAAATGCTTCCTAAAGACACTATCTCCATGCTTAAGCCCTCACAAAGCAAAATACAGAAAAACTTCCAACTGCTTCACTTATTTTCCAAAATGCCAGCTTTTTGCTGGAGTTGGGATTTGGAAACCACTGTGTAACATGGTGCAAAGCTATCATTTAATGAGATTCAGCAACTTGACATAATCTTTTACCACTGTATGGCAAAGAAAACCAACACTCCAGCATCCCTACTTTCTTCTCCACTCTCAAACTCCAGATATTTTCCTTGCAATAGCAAGACTGCTCACCTGATCACACAGTAAGTTGTTTCAAACCAAACCTCTGTGTATAAACACCCAGAGAGCTAACAGCTTTCCCTTGCTGTGTCAGTTCTTCATTGTTTCAGCATGTTGAACTGGCTTACCAAGTGACTGGCCAGGCACCAAGGTCACCACAGAGAGTGTGGCACAGTGCCTTACACAAGACTGCTTCCTTTCACTGCTCTAGGAATTAATAATATAGAAGACAGTTCTTAATGTGTGGCACAAAAGTCTGTTATGGTTCAGGCATGTTCTCCACTACACACTAATGAACTTCCCTTGTCCTTCTTCTACTCTGACTGTAAGTTATCCTCAAATTGTCTTGTGCTGCTTTAGAGAAAGTCCAGCTGCAAAAGTCTGATACCTGCAGCTCTGCATTGAGAGGCTGAACATGTCTTTAAAACTATCTGCACACCCTTTAGCAACAGAGTTAGGCTGTTACTCAAAATATTCAGAGCTTAAATCCTTTTACTCTATTTTAGCTAATTTTCCAAAGCCCCAAAGAGATAGGTTTAAATGGGCCCAACTGTACAGATAAAAGAAGTAAGGTTGTATCAATATAACACTTCAATTAGGAGTCTCTGACACCCCTCCAGGAATCTTTTAAAAGTCTCTGACACCCTTCCAGGATTCTGCTAATGAGTTAGGAAATACTTCACAGTCCTTCTGTTGGACAACTCAGTTTCATTTTGTTTTTACATCCTCAAGATGCCTTCACAGAAAGGAGTCCTCTTTTCTTTAAATCTGTGATAGACCCCTCTTGTTTAAACCTACAACAAAACCTATGATATGCTTAGATTCAGTACTGTCCCTTTCCAACTCTGTTCCCAGGAGCTTCCTAACTCACATTTAGGAAACTGTGATCATTCTGCTGCCTGCACTCTCTCTGTTTAGAAATGTGAGCACAAGTGTATACAGGTCAGGTTTTAGGTTCTTTGCCCATCTGAGCCAATATGAAGATAGTCTTTGAGCATTCTTCACTTGTTCATGAATAGGTAAGGCATAACTGTGTTTTCACCATTTTTCACCACTTCCTCAGGCTTTGAGTGGAAATATTATGCATTATGTAAGTGCTTGTAATGTATATAAATATTCAAGTACATACAGTAACTATATTCAGGACATACTTGTAGATATTATTACTGGCATATGACTGAAATCAGACATGACTACAGCTGACCACTAAGGTGAACACACCCCACAGCTTTGATTACAGAGGTTGTTGTGACCATGGCTTAAAACTCTTTAATTATAACTGGCAAATCTACAAGTCGATTTATAAATCAGTTCTCTTTCTACCCTAAGCTCAATTTATAATTAACCTTGCCAGTAATGAAACTACATATTGGAGAAAGTCTGAGAAAGAAGTTTGTGTCAGGACATTGTCAGAAGCAACGCAATTCCTTCCTCCTCTGTGAAAGAAATTAAAACAGGCCATTCTTCAACCACAAGTGTGCCTAAGCCATATCATCAGTTCCAGCAGAAAAAATCCTGAATCCAGAGAAACAAATGGAGACAGTCACTGATTCAATGTGCTGGGTTTTCAACTTAAAACAGAGAAAACATGGGCTTAAATATTTTCACAGAATCCTTGTTTAAAAATGTGTAGAAAAATGCAAATGTTTCATGGTACAAGATTTCTATAACACATCTGAAAATTATGATAAGGAAAATAAGTACCTGAACATCTCGTGATCGCTCGTAGGCCTGATATGCCACCTTCTCCTCTATGCTGGCTAGCTCTTGTTTCAAGTTTGCTGTCTCATTTTGATGAAGGTCAGTGAGGTCATTTAACTGGTCTTCCAATCTTTCGTATCTTATTAGGAAAAGAAGTCTAGATTTAGTGCCTTCCATTCAAGTAATGTCAAATCACGAAAACAGTTGCACATTTTAAAAGGTAAAACATAAAAATTTCTCAGCATACAATGAATTCATCTGACTGGCACATATAGAAACCAGTAAAAACTTTGCAAACATTCCACTAACATTTATTCAGCAATCTGAAAGCCTTTTTTTAGTGTTTCTTGCTGGCAGTAGGTGCTAAAAAGCAAATATTTGTACATCATTGGCAAATTATATGAAATATAAACAGTGCCTAAGGATATCCAACTCACATCTTTCACTCTTCATTTAGCCAAGAAGATACGGCTTTATAAGTAAGTTTGAGCCAGTTAATAGCTTGCTAGTAATGACAGGAAAAATATGCTCTCTCTTGTACACAACTGCAGGGTTCTGCCATTTATGTACAGTCTGTTCTAGCATGCTTTTACATGGTAAAGCAGTTCAAGTAAATCACCAGCAAACTAGAATTTTTTTTGTGAGTTTGTCACTTAATTTAACACACAAAGAGGCAAACACTGCAGTCAGCACAAAAATGATGGGGGCAAAATTGTCTAGAAATGGGTAGCAGGAGGCTTGAGATTTTATTGGCAGAGAGCTGTCAGAAAAGGCCACTCTGCCTTCTCCTGAAACCAAGTCATGAGTTCAGTAGGCCACTTTCATTGCTCTTTCCTCCCTATATGACCACATGATATCAAGCCTTTCATTATATTTCAAGAACTATAAGCAAGAGAAATAGCAACATGAAATATTGCCCTTCATATCAAGATTTTGCCCACTGGCGCAGCAAAGGCTTCAAGAATTGACTGTCACTTTAACAGGCCATAGGAAAAATGGGATGCAGATACAGCAGGTGAAAGCCCTCTTAGATAGAACATATCATCCACTTCTTACAGAGGATGATAAAGGAATTGATTGTCAAGTAACAAATGCAAGATGAAGTTGTGCCACAGCACTTAAAACTACATCTCCCAGCTGTGTGTTGTACCAGGGTACAAGATGACATTGCATCCACTACATAGCACTGTGTGTGGGAAGTATTTGGACAAGGTACTCAGGAGTCAAGGGTATACTTATCAGCTGCCAGTCAGTTCTGCTACGCCACAGACTGATTAGCTTTTTTGAATCACATTAGATGAGAATCCTTCCACCAGCTACAAAACTATTGGCATCACCTACATGCAGTACTCACATAATTCATATAAAAATATGACAGAGGAGAGGGTTTTCTGATCAGCATTTGGCAAAGGCAAAGGGCACTACCCCATTTGATAGGAAATATAAATATTCTATAATAAATAGTCTATGTGTATTTTCAGTTGCTGGAACCAGATATTTTCATGTTGGTATCATATATTGATTGGAATTATTTTTATCTCTTGCTTCTGAAATTTCTCTCTCTCACACATACACACTTTCCAAATAGTTTCTATATCCATTCAAAAGTCTTTCCAAGAGAACAGTTAAAAAAAATACCTATATCTTTCCTCTTGTAGCATCTGAGAAATAAAGCCATAGTCTCTTTTAAATTGGGTTTTTAAATTCTCAATATCATCAGCTAATTGGGACTGTGTCTCCTTGATTTCCCTTAGTTCTTCCAAAATCATGGAAAGCTTTCCTTGGCTGTCCAGGGTACTTGCCACAGCAGGACTAAAGGAGGTATTCCCGTTGCTATCTGCTGATCCAGAGGTCCCACTTGAGCATTCATCATCACTAACGTATTTTGGTTTGGCAACAATGGTGGCACTTCCCCCATAGGTTCTAGAACTCGTTTCTGGCCGAAATTCATCCAGAGTATTTTTGAGATGAGCAATGTTGTCCGCACTACCAAATTTGTTTCGGATCAAGTTGGCAAACTCTCTGGACTTGCTGAAAACAAAGACAGGTGGTGTCAAAGATACACCCGGCACACCCGACTTGCTGCTCTCCGTTCCGTGCCCAGTGCTACGAGACTTTCCATGTTGAACATCTTTCAAGTTATCTTTGGAAGTATCCTTGGTAGCTTTGGAAGATCCATTTTGTTCAATATCCTTGAGCTTTTTGTGATACTGTTCCAATTTCTTCTGCAGCTGGGCAATGGAGTGGGCAGATTTCTGGTTCTTTTTCTCAAAGACTTGCTTAATGCGCCCAGCCTGTTGCTTGTCTGCACTGTTGACCAGTTTCAAATACTCAGCCACGTTTCCATCTCGAGCTGTTTGTTCAACCTTGATTTGCTCCGTAACCTTGAGGATTTTCTGTTTCAAGCTATCTGCATTGAGTTTGACTTTGTGAAATTCTAGGACCCCATCTGGTACATCAAAGTTCAGGTTGGTATCAGAACCTCCACGGCGGATGTTAAGTGGTAAACTCAGGGTATTCATGTCATGTCTTTCCACCTGAGAGAAAAGAAAAAGAGGGAAATAGAATTTGAATTCTGTTTTTTTAAATCAAACATCCAGTTTACTTTTCCACATATATCAAGTACACAGTATAAAGTAGCTCTTATTAGTAAAGCATAATAAGCTTTTCTTTGAAATTAAGCAGCATTTTTCTTGAATTCTGCAGGTTAATAAACAGTCCAAGGAGCTGCTTGTCTCTCTTAAAGATGAATTACAGAGAAGATTATTCAGAATAGCTTACAGAATCACTGTAAGCTTTTCAGAATCACTTCCAGTTTTCCACAAAATAAGAATAACGCCTAGTTAGAAAAGGTTCCTAAATATATTGTTTATTATTAAGAGTTTCAAAGAGATCATGGCTGATAATCACTCAGATTTTTCTCTTAGAAGTTGTCAAACATCAATGGAGATGTAAGCAGATTTTTCCCTCTACAGCAGTGCTATACTGTTCACTATATTTTCCCTGGTTTAATGCCTTTTTTGATACATCCCATTCAAATTCCTCCCACAATTCAAAGGTTTTGCAAAACTATCTCAAAGAAAGCTCTTGAAAATTTTGTGTATGTAGCAAGCTGGAAGCATTTTGGGTTTTTTTTTGAAGCAGAGAGCATAGAGAAAGAATTGGCCTGTATTTGACTTTCCAGCTTGATGAAGGTGCTCAACAACTTGATCTGCTGTGCTAATTCTATTTTAATAGGAGGTTCACTGAATGAGATTTACAGAAAGAAACTCGGGAAAGAAAACTGCATTCAGTTAAGCATAGGATCTGGACACCTTAAATGCACTCTGGAAGCACAACAAAAATAATTAGGCAACTCAGTCACAACACTGACCACAACAGATCATTTTATCTTTCTCAACAGAAAGGCAAGATAGTCTGATACAAAACATTAAAAGTGTTTCCCTATATAAAGTCAAAGTTATGGGGGAGGCATAAGAAGAATGATCTAAACAAAATGGCTTCATCCCTATTATCATCTTGGTTTAGCCTGTGTGACAAACAAAGTGGATTTTGTTGCAACTGCCACAGTGACATGTCTGTAGAGACTGCTTAACAAATGCTCTAGCCATAGCGGGTTTTCAGAGCTTTAATACATGGGGGAACCAATATAATTCCTCAGGCAAGACTATTGCAGATACAAGGCAGAAACTATATTAAAGTATCTCTTAAAGATGCATTTGTGAAATGCTTTAACTACTTTTTTCTTCAAAATGTCTGAGATACTATGTTAAAAGTTTGATTTCCAAATAGAGTGTTTATTATTATGTATAATACTGAAGATCATGCAGCCGGACCTATATGTACATGTCCAGTGATCACCATTCAATCTTTTTCTTGAGTAAAAAATCATAAGCCCATCCTTGTACAGTTTTGGCAGGTTTTTTGGAAATTCACTCCAGGATTCTTGTATTGTCCTTAAAATACAAGCTCAGTAACCAGATAAAGTGTCCTACTGTTAATGCCATGCATTGTGCACAGCTTGATCAGGAGAACTACTCTGTCTCTACCATGCTGGGGTACAAACACAGAGTGGGTGATGCACCTATAAATCTGGATCTGACCATCTCAGAGACAAGATCATCTCTGCTACTTTATATGGTTTTCCTTATAGATTACCAAGGATTACAGCGGGGATTTTTCTTGATTTTTCTTTTGCTACTGCACCACTCAGGGCACAAACCCGGTAACATAAAAATTCACATTCACCAATACCTAAAAAAAAGGCACTTAAAAAATGCATACCAAAAGAGTTCTGGAGTCGACAATTTCTTTTGGAGAATATTGGTTAATGATGGTTAATGCTTTAAGATTCAGACTCTATCCTGGGCTGTGACCTAATAGATCTACACTTTACCAGTTTGTTAAAAGCTATTGATATTGATCCAAATGCTCAGTGCAAAACAATAATTTATTGAAACAACCTATGATATTTTTTAATTAGCTTTGGCACAAAAATGATACTGTAATTAGTCACAGAATTGTATACACACACAAAACAGATCCATCATTGAAGTCACTCAGGACAAGCTGTACATAACTTTCAGGAATGGGTGGGTCTATATCTAACCTTTACACAGCAGTAAGTGTTTACTTCCTCAGTAAAAAATAGTCTAGAAATGTATTGTAATAATTGGATACAAGCCCAAACCAGATCCCCTCTCCCTTATGTCCTCTCCCTCACTGGGCTCTTTATTGGTCAGATTTCTCTGCCTTCCTGAAACCTCAAGGTCACAAAAGCAATACAGATAAAAAGAACAATAGCATTGAAGAAATACATCTGCTGAATGCTGCTGTGCTTTTGGCCATGAGGAAATCTGTTAGCATGGGACAAATCTGCTCCTGAATAAAACCAATCAGAGTCAGTTCAAATTCAGTAAAATTTATAAAATAATTGTGTTTAAGTTCCCAAAGCACTGCTAACAGTAGGATTTTTTACTTGCTGGATTGAGACCTCACTAATGGACAAAAAAATCACATATTTCTCTGTCTGATTGTATTTGGACAAAAATGGCAGGCATCCTCTGCCATCATGTTGCAAGGCTGGGTCAAGCAACATGATGGTTCTTGAAATCCTCTGCTGATGTATTACACCTTTTAGTTGGGAGGGGATGTGTAGTGTGGGGTGGAGTTACTCCTTTTTTAGATGGGGGGGTGGTTGGTTGGGTGCTGTGGGGTTTAGGTTTATTGGGGATTTTTGGTTTGGTTATTTTAAATCAGAAGCAAGCAGACAGTGTGGGAGTCAGGTATGTCTAGACAAGTGGTCTGTCACCTTCCTTCTACCTTGATGATCCATTTGTGACCGGTTTATAGCTCAGCACTAATGCTGATGAGCTGATGCCCCAAGACATCAGATTTCCATCTTCAAATCCTACCCCAAACTCTTCTTGCTGTAAGTCTCATCTCATGATGAGAAGAATTAGGTTCAGTTCCTGCTGTATCGAATGTCTCATTCTTTATACTGAGTACAAGGCTGCCAGTAGGAGTCTGAGATGCTTCCTCGTCCCTGCAGGGACTAGTGCCCTCTCCTGGGATGCAGGCTGAAATCCTCCCAGTGCACGAGACTGAATGCACATCTCCTTCTAAGTGTGTGAGTGCTCTTCCATCTATGCTATAGGAAGAAATTAGGAATGCCGTCCATGCCTTCCTTTTGGAAGCACTTTAAGAAAAAAGAGTCATCATACCTATCTTATATTATGGTAATTAATAGGGAGCTGGGCAATAGCAGTAGATAGCAAGCAGCAGTCCTGAGACATGTGGTACCACCACGTAAACAGGAAGTCAAAGCACTAGCTCACAGCCTGAGGAAATACCAGAGACATGCCCTCAATCTATCTTCTAGGAAAAAACAGGGAAAAAACCAATTTGCATATGGTCCTGGGATAGCTGTAGCTGATGTTAGCCTGAAGAAAGAAACCTGGGCCTTGGAGAGACCACTGCACTTTATGCAGCAATTCACATACACACTTTGCTACAACCCAGTTGAGAACTAATAGTAATGTTTGTGCTGCAGAAATACAAGCTTCTAAGAACTGTGATTTAGGCAAGTAGAGCAATCCAGGCTCCCTGCCAGCATCAGAGCCTAGTACCACAGACGACTAGGTAACTCACAGAGATAAAGCCCCAGTCCCCATTTTTCCAAGAAGCCAAGCAGATGTCCAGCTGCCTGACCATGCTATCCATGCAACCCATCCCAAGCCAAAGGCCAGAGCTTCAGAATGGGCAGGAAAATCACTGCTTGGTGCAATGAGCACAGGTGCTCTGCTAGGAGCCCTTCACTGCACATGAATTGTCAGGTTAACTTTCTGTGTTAAATGTAAAGTGGAAGGCTGGGTAACAGGCAGCCTGCCATTCCAAAAGAAGCATTCAGAGCACAACAGTGATTTGAAAACCCGATCATGGGAGCAAGGATAGGGATTTCATTGGCATCATAATAATGCAAATGTTTCTTCACTTACTGTCTGCAAAAGCAGCACAAAGGTCAGACTTGCAGGCCATGCTATCAATGATCCCAGAGCACAGTAGGACCCACGTTCCCCAGTGCCACAGGCAAGACTACTGGAAAGGGATTCCACATGGACAGAATCTGCTGAACAGGTGAAAATATGTTTAATGGCCTATAGAGATTGGTCATTGTATCCTCTTATTGGAAAATATAAAGCAGACCTAGAAGACCTCATTTCTTCCCCAAAGAGTCTGGGTGGGATCCATCTGGGAGAAAAAAATCCATAGTGAAAAGAGCACAAAGGGCAAGCAGCCCACCCTAGTGCAACCCACATCCTACAGGAATTACATCCTGTGTTCCATTGATTGTGCCAATGGCTCTCCACTGACAAGTGAGAATAAGCCCCCTGTGTTTAAGGTATCAAACTGAGATCTACTCTTTAGGTCACAGATTTCTTTTCAGTTCTTTTAGAAAGTATCTAGCATAGAGAAAAAAGCATTTACAAGACAGATGCATATATGCAACAGGCTCCAGAAAGCCCACACCTTTGGGTTGCCTCACTAACAGAAAGAAATCATGAAGACATGAAATGATCTACTTATTTAAATAGGCTCAGTTTACAGGTGTTTCCTTCTTTTTCTTTCTCTAAACAACCTCATTACCATCACCAGTCATAGCTGTGCAAGTTAAACAAAAGCTTATGATGACAATTTAAGTCTATCTTGAAAGAGTTTCTGATGAATGCTTAGAAACAGAATCCTATAAGGAACATACAAAATAGGATTAAGGCAGCTTTAAATCTCTTAGAATTTGGTAATAACAACAAAAATCAATAGGAACAATTATCTTTTTATCAGAAATATGCATATGCCAGAAGCACAGGTGTTCCAATGGGTAAAAGAATATGCAGAGGGGGTTTTAATAAGTTTTCACTATAGCCAAAGCAGAAATGTACTTTGAGAGAGACTTTTACCATGCCTTTCAAGTTCACTGTTCCTTCTAAAATCCACATGAGAATCCTTCATGGAAGTTTTAAAATAGAGCTAAATCATC